TGTGAGGTGGTACCTCAGAGTTGTTTTAATTTGTATTTCTCTAATCAATAGTAATTTAGAGCATTTAAAAATATTTAAAAACCAAAACAAACAAAGTATTCTGTTCCGTGACAGATACATTTTCCCCTTGTTGGATTATACTGAGTTTTGCAGGGTAAGTTATTCTTGGTTGTAAGCCTACATCTCTTTTGGAATGTTGTATTCAAAATCTCCTGTCATTTTTTAGCACAAACTTCTAGGTTTTGTGTGATTCTGACTGTGGCTCCTTTGTATTTCTCTCTGGACGCTCACATTATTTTTTCTTTGATATGGGAGTAACAGATTTTGGTCATTTATCTTCTGTGACTTTCTTTATTGCTTGTTTAGTCATAAACTCTTCCTTTATTCATAGATCTAAACTATCATTTCTTCCTTGCTCCTTCAACTTGTTTATGATGTGACCATTTATTTTCAAATCATGTATCCATTTGGAGGTTACCTTTGTGTATGGTGTGGGGTATGGCTCCAAACCCAGTGCTGACATACTGCTGTCCGGTTTTTCCAGTAGTTTTTGTCAAATAGTTAATCCTTTCTTTACTGGTGTCTTTGGGTATATTGAACACTATGGCCGAGCGGTGAAACAGCCCAGCCAAACTGATAAGCAATTTGGAAATATGCCAAGAAAGTAACTAAAATGCCTACACCTATTGATCTAGAAATCTGTCTGCTAGGCAGATGCCACTAGAATGTCAGTGCTAAAAAGAAAGATTTCACATTCATCAAAATATTGAGATCTGTACTTTTTGTAGTAGCTAACAGTTGAGATGAGAGCACACCAACCCCTTCCTTTGAAAGGCAGAGGATGATACTTGTGGCACACTGGAATATGACAGAGTTCTCTGTTGGGTAGTTTTTATTTTCTCTCTTTTATGCTTTGTTATAAAGGATGGATGGGGGGTGGGGGCAGGTAAGGGATATACTGAGAAGTAGAGATGACTTAAAAGCAAAATGTAACCAGAGGCCTCTGAGAAATGCATAAGGGGGTTTCAAGTTCTGTGGATCTGAATATGACCTTTGTTTTTTTTTTTTGTTTGTTTGTTTGTTTTTTGGGTGAGTTTGTGCACCTGGACTCTGGGGCAAGGGTGGCATCGTAAGTGGCTTTGGTTTGCAGAGGACCACATGCAGGTCAGCTGGAGCCCTGGTTTGGAGTGCAATGGAGATGAGCAGAGGCCCCATAATGGGCAGTCTGATTGGAGACTAACACGAGGCCTTGATGTGGCTACAGCGACTTGAAACTTTACTTGTTCAGAGACTACTAATGAGGATGGTTGGAATAGGCTGATATTGCTGGCTGTGGTTGTTTTTTGGGGGGATTAGCCAAAGGACAGTAACATTCCTTTTAACTCTCTTTCTTGATGCTTGTAGATGGAAGGAGCATAACTACATGCTTTTCTCTGTTTCTTTAAGCTGTCTTTGTTTCAGATTTTCTGTCTCCTAGAAACTAGGACTGGTCAGAAGTGATCTGTGACTCACATCTATTAGGTGCATGAAGAGCAGAGTACAATAAAAATTCCAGTGATGCTTTCTATAAATGGGACTGAGTCAGAGCTTTTGTTCAGAACACCAGGCTTTCATTTCTAATGGGCTGAGCTGAGTGGGAAGAACAATCCATGCGGGTGCTGTGGGTGGACAGGTACAGGAATGCGCTCTTGGTGGAGCTCTAAATTTGTCTAAGCAGTATGGAAAGAAATTTGTAACTGTATGCCCAGAAGACATCACACTGTGCATACCCTTTGACCCAGGGATACTGCTACTAGGCCTGCACCCCAAAGAGATGAGAGAGGAAAAGAATCCACATAGCCAAAAATGTCTACAGCAGCTCTTTTTATTATAGCAAAGAATTGGCGGCAGAGAGCACCCATTATTTGGGGAAGCAACGAACAAATGAAGGCATATTAGTGTAATGGAATATTATTACACCTTAAGAAATGATAAAAGTGTTGATGGAAGAGAAGCCCGTAAAGATCTGTGTGAGGTCCAGCAAAAAGAAGCCAGTGGAACGCTCCGTGGAAAGATTAATATCCACAACTTGGAGAGACTGAAGGGCTCGGGTGCGAGATTCCCAACACCCCTGAGTACCCGGCCACCCACTTCCTGAGACGACGGAGGGCCTGGAGGCCTAGAAGACGTATGGTGTTGGACAAGGGTGGGCATATTGGGTGGCTGGGTCCTGTTTTTCTTTTCTTCAGGCGGAGAAAGGGAAGCTCTGGAAGACACTGCTGGAAAAAAGACCAAAAGAAAGGGAAAGGAAAGGAAGCAGGGAGTGGTTGAAGCCTTTTATTTTCCATTGGCAGCATGGCAGGAGGAGCTGACGGGAAGCCCCCTGAAGGCAGGCCGGCTCTCTCTGTGCATCCACACACGGGGCAGTCGCTGTTCATTGATGGGCTGGCTGCCACACCCCTGCCCAACATGGCATCTTGGTTTACCAGCACCCGACCTCCTCTGCAAAAGGGGGGGCTTTGCAGGAGGACAAGGGGGAAGGCCGTGCACCCCAGCATCGATGTCAGTGCATCCATTTTAGTCGGGTTCCCGCGGAAATCCTGCAGAGCACAAGGCGGGGTTCGAATCCTGGACCCGCCAGCTTACTGCCTGTGGGACCTTGGCCAAGTCACCGGCCCTGCCCTTGCCTCAGTTTCCTCACTGGTAAAACGTGGGGTCGGGCTCAGTGGCCTCGATGGTCCGCTCTGGCAGGGGCAGCAGGTTCAGCTACGGACAGCGCTTCAGGAGGGAAAGGTGGCGCACAGGCCTCTGGGAGATGTGGGCGGGGGAGGATGAGCCCACGTGTTACCGCCCCCACGTGTTACCGCCCCCACGTGTTACCGC